AGCAGACCAAAACTGAACTGGAAGATACTGTTTCAAGCATTTCTTTGTGGGTTATTTGGGTAAGTTGATGAATGCATGTTTGCCAATTTAGGAAGTGCACTAATTCACAAAATGTTGCTTTATTCATATAATTCTCGACACGTGTGGTTAGTAGAGAAACAGGCAACTAGCTGTATATCATGCACCGTCTCTGTTTATATGCATGGCCATGAAGCACGTGACACTTGTTCTTCTACGCTGCATACAACAATTTTCTAAATTTACGATTGAAATTTAATAATAAAAACAAAATTAGAGGTGCATATATAGTATTGTATATTTATCAAAATATATAAAAAATTTCGAATTTAATTAGTTTATAATTAACATTTAATAGTACTTGAGTTGCAGGGGATCATTAACTCAAAATTTGTACATGGAGAGTTTGGCCTTAACATCTGCAACTTTTGTTTCAGCCATGAGTAATCTCATTCCAGCAATTACCTTCATTTTGGCCGTTTCATTCAGGTTAAAAAATAGAAAAATTAAGATACATATTGAAATATTTAATTGATAACTTTAATTAATTGATTTTGATATGGATGATGACAGATTAGAGAGGGTGGGAATACGAACAAAGGCTGGAATGGCAAAAGTGTTGGGAACACTTTTAGGAATAAGTGGAGCGATGCTCCTCACATTCTACAAAGGAATTGAGATTAATCTTTTCTCAACAAATGTCAACCTTCTTCATCATGGAGCTTCCAATTTCACATCTCCGCATGCAGAACCCAATAAGCGCCTTATTGGCTTCTTGTTGGCCATTGCCAGTTGCCTCTCCTTTGCCCTGTGGTTGATTATTCAGGTACCTTTTTCAATTAAATATAAAAGAATTACAGTCTGTAGCGATGCCCAATGATCGTCGTAAAAGCCTGCATGTTTTCGCCTTACTGTAAAATTACCTCGGGCCATTATGTGCAAAGATTATTATTATTATTTTTTTAATTTTCTTAAAATATATATTTTTTATTTTTGCAGGCTAAGATGAGTGAAAAATACCCATGTCAATATTCCAGCACGGCATTGATGTGTGTGATGGGAGCAATCCAAGCTGCATTTTTTGCCCTATGCAAGGAAAAAGACTGGAGCCAGTGGAAGTTGGGCTGGGATTTTAAGTTATTCACTGTAGCTTACTCGGTAAGTTCCAATTAATAATCCACTTTAATTGCACCATTTTTTGTGTCATTGAATCCTATTTAACTTTGTGACAAGTTCATTGTAACAATTTATTCATTGGGTAATTTGTGCTGCAGGGAATTGTGGCTTCTGGTTTAATGGTGACCTTGGTATCTTGGTGTGTGCGAATGAGGGGACCTCTATTTGCATCCATCTTTAATCCTCTTATGCTTGTGGTCGTAGCCTTTATTGGTTCTTTAATACTCGATGAGAAGCTACACTTGGGCAGGTAAAAATCAAATTAGTATTTAATTTTTTCTAAGATATAAAGACCCTTTAAAAATATATGGTGAAATTTAAGAAATTTTGTTTCGTATTTCAGCATACTAGGTGCAACATTGATCGTGTGTGGGCTTTACGCGGTGCTATGGGGTAAAGGAAAGGAAATGAAGAAAAGAACTCTATTAGTGCCAATTGAAGGTTTTGGAGAATCTAAATTAATTGATATTGTTATCACCTCGCAAATTGACCAAACTTGTAATACTAGTAACATGGTTGAGGAAAATGAAGGCAAAGAAGAAAATAACATAGTTGAGATAGAGGTAAATGGAGGTATATTTCCAAGAGAAAAAGAAGAAAGCGATTCAAGGGGTAATGGTATTTGATGGAGATATATCAATAAGGAATTAAATTTCTACGCATGCTGAAAAAATGAAATGTATGTATTTATAGTAATCAGACTGCCTATACAACAATTTCACTTACCAACTAAGTTAGTTGGTTTTCGCAGAAAATTAATATAAACTCTCATCAAAGTTTGTACTTAAAATTGTCTATCACATTGTTTTGTATGTTCTTTATTTATTTAGTTACATTTTCGCTATATTACTGATTGTAGAATATATTATTAAAAATCAGAGTAAAGGCATAGCTACCACCAATGTTTTAAAACCCAACCTGGGGTGAAATCCGGCAAAGTTTTCGGGTCCCAGGCGGTCAAACCAGTTTATAAAAACTTTTAAAATTCAGCAAATATACCCCTAATAATTATGTTAAGTCCATATATGTTTGAAATTTAGCAAACACAACCCAAATATAAATCGGCCAGTGACTAGTTGTCGATGGGGAGACCCCAGATGCAACCTCAATTGTCTCTTGAGACCATTCCCCTTAAAATACACCCAAGATCTGGTCGAAATAGGTTTGATTTTGGTCAGATCTCACCGACGCCAGTGTCGGCATTCCAGGTCAAATCTCGTCGACAATCCTCCCCATCACCCATAAATTACTCCCCTCTTTGTCCCGACTAGAACCCACCTCACCTCACCTCACCCCACCCCCGTTAGCCTCGCCAATCGCCGGCAAAAGCCGGTTGTTGCCGTCCTCAGTTTTGTTTGATTTTCGGTCAATTTACTCACTGGAAGTCAACTCCGTCACCACCACCGCATTCACCTCACTTTCTCTTCAAAAGCCCCAACACCCCGGCCATCAATTGTCAGCCGATCATCCTCCCAAATCATAGGGTTTTGGGTAAATAGGAAAAATATAACCCAGCCCGTTGAAGCTTCCGGGTTCAGGTTAAATCGGCCGGGTCGGGTCGGGTTTTAAAACATTGGCTATCACTCTCTGAATGAGAGTAAACTGGCAGTCAAATATAAACAATGGGGAAAACAAATTAACGTCTACAAAATTTATCCAATTAGATTAATCAGGTATTGTCAAATATTTGTGGTTTTCCTTCTCAAAATAATCACCATCATATCAATAACCATCCTTTTAACAGGTGGTTAAAAAAATAATTACTTTTATGGTTAATTCTAATTGGATGGTTAACAATAGTAGTATGATGATTTTATATCCATATTAGTATCATGAGTTGGTTAGATTGTCCCATGGTGAAATTAACATCGTTAAATTTTATTATTGGAATCATGAAATTTTCAATATAAATTAAGGAAAATTTTCCTTTGAGGTTATGTAAAGGAAACAAGTATGGATTACCATCTATTTGGCTAGAAAATCACCTATTTATATTTTAACAATTAAATGAATATAAAAGCAAATAACTACTTGTTATCTTTGATTTTGTATTTTGTGAATCACCAGTTAATAATTGACCTTTGACTGGCACGTTAAAACCTTTAGGATGTCCCACACAAAAAATGATGAGTAATATTACATATACATCATTTTCATACAATATTTCTCATACAACATTATGTGGCAAGATATAATTGGCTAATTTAAAGTTAAAATTAAACTTTCACCCAATCATATCTTGCCACATAATGTTGTATGTGAAATGTTGTATAAAAATAATGTATATGTAGTATTATTCAAAAATGATATTGCAAGATGTCTCTCCTCAGGTTACCTTTTATCCTAAAATTAGAATAATATAATAGTTAAATCCTAGTCATGTAAAATTTCCTTAGAGGTCTTGGGCACCTAGTGAAACTGAGTGACGTGTTAAGGGACGGTCAATGCGTGTGGCCCGAGGAAGTTAGAGAGGCTTGTCCCCCAGGTGATCTTTCAGTCTCCTTTGCCTAATATGGTTTATGCCAGAGACACTTCGGTTTGGATTACTAAGGAAAGAAGAAAAGTGCAATATTCCTCTAGACAAGCTTGGCGGGACCTTTCCCCTACTTATGATCAAGTGCCTTGGAAATCCCTTGTCTGGAATGGAACTTGCATTCCCCGTCATTCTTTTATAGTATGGCTTGCTATAAAGAAAAAGTTTCTTACGCAAGACAAAGAGTGTTTGAGAGATGTCTTGTAGTCTCAGTCTCTAGAATTTTGTGTTGTGTTATATATATATATATATATATATATATCACTTTAATGGCTAAACTAGGACCAAGATAACTCCCATCAATTATCTTTAACCTCCTATCAAAGATTAAGATAGACAATTAAATAACTCTTTCATAAACCACCTTCAACTGCATAATTATGGCATATGACCACATCAATCTTACATTATCCCACTTGACCTCATGTCGCAATTTGAAAATTACTGCATATGTGATTAATCTGAATATGGCTATAATATTAGTTATAGCAAGTATTACTTACATAAAAGCTAAACATGAATGATCTTTTTTCTAGTTTTCACATTATCGGCAGTGTCTTCGGGAAATTGAATGCCCGCCCCTACTAGATAAAAAATACATGATAAATTGAATGTTCTTATTCCACTTCGATATAAATTACTGAATGTCATAATTTGTGGGTATTTGTGATATGATGATGCTATCAGGAAGTCTCTTCTCTCTCACAACACAAATCATAAATCAAAGCTCAAATATGGGAACTTCAGATGTAAAGCCATGAGTAGCTTGGTAAATGAGCCGAGTTACAATATTCCTATAAGGATCATTCTCCCTTTTCTCCTTTAAATAAGTTAGGCATTTCTCCACCTCAGACTTCACTTCTATATACAATTCATGAGCCTTCTTTCTGTCTTTTAGTTCTTGCTTCCTCCCTTACACAACACAAAACAAGAGAGAAAATAAACTAAATCCCTGCAATCATTTCTCAATGTTCAAAACTGCTTAAGGCCTATAAACAAAGACATATTTGATCTAAAAGGGCATCATCAGAAGTGAACTTGAACAATGTTGAATGATCATACCTTGTGTTTCAATTGGCTTCCCGAAATAATAATAAAACCTGCCGGGAACTTTTGGTAGACATATTGGCACGTGCACAGGTTGGTTTGCCACCTCCCCTTTCACATGAGTCCTAACACAAACAGAAAAATTTGAAAGAATGAACAGGGTAGGGAAAAAAAAAGCACGCAAAAAACTTGAACACAAATTAACAGAGGCAAGTGGAAATTCTTATGATACCTTGCTTTCACAGCCTCGTCAGTCAATTCTTCTATTTGAGATTTATAGTAGGGAATTTTCATTAGGTCATTGTAGTCAAAAACTACCTGAAAAGAATGAATATGCAACCAAATATCAGTTAAAGTTAGTGACTGAGGATGCAACTATGAGAACAGGTCACACATGATACCAGGAGATAAAAGGTATACATAAGATCATAACAGTCTTGTACTTACATGATCACAAAATAACTTTCCACTACTCCAGACAGAAAAATTTATGTACATGATGAAAATTAATAATTGTTAACAAAGACAACACTGAAGAGAAAAAGATAGTTTGCTAGTTTACTTGAGCGAGATCGTCTTCTCCAATAGTACCAAAAGGTATAATTTTGGCTCCAAATCTAGCTGCCATCCTGACAAACTCAGACTCTTCTGGTCAAAATAATTTGTATTCTTCACCCTGAGAAACATCATCAAGGATTTACACCCTCGCAACTTAGAATCAAAATTAGAAAATGATAATTGCATTATAGAACAAGGTTTATCATTAACTTATTTGAAGATTACTTTTGTCCTGATTGGCCAGAAAGTAGGGCTACTCCTGTACATCACCTTCTCAAATTTTTAATAATTTCATATGGCGAGCAGAAATTTGAGAGCCAAGAAGAAATTAAAACTAATTTAAACTTGCAATCATTCCATTGGCAAATAAAATTTTAGACACAATAAGCTTATTTCTCTAGATGAAGAATGGACATTGGTGGATAACTGTTGAAAGACGATACCTTGCGATGAACAGCTTCTCGAATGCCTCCTGGATATAATAGGACATAAGACTTTGAAGACATTAGTTTGAAGAAGTTTATTGCTGAGACAGGAACTGCACCCATTAATCTGACTGTATAATATTGATCTAAGTCTGGTAATTTTCCCTCTCTTGACTTATAGAACAACATCGGATGTGCTATGCCTCGCAGAAGGATATTCCTTTCGATCAAAAAGTGTGGTATCATTGGAATGACATCAAGTCCTAATAACATGTGATATCCAACAAATAAGACTGGTCCCTCTGAAGGAATTCCAGAAAGACCCCTCACAATCTTCCCATCCTCTAAAGTTGTCAATAATATCTCATTTTAGGTTGTAGTAAAAACAAGTATAAATGTCAACTATATAACTGGAGAGGCTTGCAAGGATAATAGAAAAACAAACCTGTCATTAGCTCAGCATAGAAGAAAGGCTAAGAGTTATTTTATAGTTCTAGAACGTTTCGGACCTTGAAACTTCAAGGAGATTGATTGTAATTACCATACTTGAAATAAAGTTTTATATAAAAAATAAATACCATTTTTATATATAAAACTCATACCATTTTATATAAAATGATTATGCTCTATGCATAAATATAAGTTTGGACTTTAATTTTTAAGTGAAATAATAAGCATAGACTACCTAAAGAGTAATTAAACTAATTTAAAAATTCAGAAAAAAAAATGTGATCACAAAGGATTTTGGGTTTTAAAAGGAATCCCACACCATATTGAGATTCTGTAATGTAGACGACATGAATTAAATGTGTATGTTAGTAACATTGGCACAGACACGGAGTCGGTGCCTGACCCCCAAAAAAAAAAAAAAAAAAAAAAAAAAAAAAAAATCACCTCAAAACACATTATTAAAAAAAAAAAAAAAAAAAAATTAATGGATGGTATCAAATGATTGACACAAAGTAAATATGAACTAATGAGAGAAAGTGATAAGTTGTCAATCCTGGGTTGGACAAAATTAGAACAAGATCAATATCGGGATTTCGGGCTGCAACAACTAGTGCTAGGCACGCTCCAAGGATTCTCCAACATATATGGATCTATTAGGTGAATGCTTATTTTCTGTACGTACGATTGTTCAATCATTCATCACGTAAATTGAAGGATGTTGATGTAAATTTAGACACATGGTGCATGATTCCATATGATAGGCCATAGAAGCATGCTTCTATTATTTACGTACTTCAATCTATCAACAAATACTTCAACCTTGTTTTTGTTTCAAGCTTAAACTTGAATGTGTTTGATATTCGATAGATTTCATGTGATTATTCAAATCTCATAAACATTTTGATGCTATTTAAACTGATTACTGAATAATTGAAATTATTTTTTTAAAAAATAGACAAAAAAGAGGGATTTTGATCAATTATGGGCATGTTCCATAGATTATTTGAACAATGTTATTTTTAAAAAGTATTTTAAATTGAATTGATTTGGATTATCGAATATGATCAGATTCTAAAATGTGTTTGGTAAAATATCTGAAAATTATTCAAAGTTTGATAAAATGTTGGAATAATTGTTTAGTACATTTTTTAAAAAAGGCTTTTTAAAACAGAATAGTTGTTTGATACATTTTTTGAAAATATTTATTATTATTGTTTTAACTCTCTAACTTGTTAATTTAGTTAACATCCTACAATAAAATTTTAAAAATTAGCTAAAGTACCTCAGTCACCCAAGAGACAATTGGCTACTGGACGACAGTCGGTCGTCAAAGAAAATAACTTATCAGACTGGATCTGGTCGACCGTGTGTCGATATGACTATTTTTGGCAGAATAGTCAGATTTTACATGAATTTTGTGTAATTTTTGCCTGCTTGTAGACTCAGTTGTAAATATATTCATTATTTATAAGTACATAAGGGAGAGATGGATATTGTAAGTTTGTATCATCATTAATCAATCATAAATATATATTCTTCTATTTAAAATAAATTCAACGCTAATTGGCTCCTTTAATCCCATGTTTACATGCATGACAATGGTGATGTGTTAATTTGTAGACTGAAAAAGCATATAATTACGTACAATAACAGGATTAAATTTATTATAGAACTAAAACCTATGCGAAAACTAGTACAACTTTGGAAGTGCAATTAAATATAATTATTCAATTCCCTTGAGCTTTTTTACTTTCAATCGTTGAGATAGATTCAGTTGGGGAGTTGACACTAAAGAGCTGGCGAATCTCCGGAGTTCTATTATCATTCAATGGAAATCCTTTAATCATATCACACTCTCTTCCTTCATCATCATCACCATGTTACATGGATTTTTTTATATATATTTCACTGCACATCACCAAATTCCAAGTTTCCATTAATTTATATAATAGGACCTTCTTAACAATTAAAATTTCCCAACAATGTATAAAATGTTAGTAACCTGCCAAAAACAACCCTGTAGCACGAAGGCTGATGATTCTCTCAACAACCAGTAGTCGTGGAGGATATCCCATTACTACTTCCTTTTGCGGCAGAACCCCATATTTTTTGCAGAGGTCCATGACAGCTTGAAGCTTTAGATTTTTGCCGCGTTTTCCATTCACTTTACTTTTTCAATACTAGGTCTTCCGGTTCCAGCATCCAAACATCCCTCCATGTCTTTGAAGATACTAGAGTTATTATAATAGTTAGTTAATATTTTTTTTAATTGATATTGGAAATATATATATAAATTGAAGACGTACGGGGAAAGTTAAGCCATGGCATGACCCAAGAGAGTGACAGTAGAACCGGTAGGCATAATATTGTGAGTTCCCATTCAAGAGGTTCCATGGTGAAATCTTTAAGCCCTCCATTACAATCACCACATGTTTACCGATGTTTGTAGCTGAGCCAGCAGTGACTCGCCCGCCCTGATCTCATCTCATCATCTCCTGCTGATGATCTGTCGCTTCCATCAAAAGGCCCTGCCTTTGTTGAGTATAGTTACAAACCATTTTTCCAGCTAGCTGATCTATATATTTGCCAATACAAAAATATTCAGTTTAATGTAGAAGAAATATTTATGAGAGTAAGGGAAGGCATTTGTGTAGATGGGAGTCGAATTTGTCTTGTGGGAAAAGAAAATAAGTTCTGGCAAAACAAAGTATGAGCAAGTGTTTTTGAAATAACTAAGCTTTTTCTGAGGAATTAATACAACATCTGATTTGACATATATCTATAGCCAATGCAAGTGCAGAGTGATGTACAATGAAGCCAAGTTTGAGACTTTGTCAATTACTATGCCAATTATGCTCGGCTTAAAATTTTATAGTGAATGTATCTATAAAGGAATTGTCTCGTTACTGCAGAATGTATCGTAGCAGGTCAGATTATCTAAACACTCAACGCCATGCAATTCATTTTATGTTGCCATTTAACTGTTTGGATTAGTTTTTCTAGTTCCTTATCATAATGGTTATAAGCTTTGATGTATCTCAACTAAATAGTAAGATAATCCTTTATTATTATTATTATATTTCAAAGGAACAAAATAGACATATACAATTTAGCATTTGATAGCCAATATTTTTTTAACATTTCTAAACTCATAGGTTTCAGAATATTAAAATGAAGGCTTATTTTCAAAAACCTCCCCTAAGGTTTAAGTCATTTTCAAATTAATAACAATGTATCAGATTTCATCAAAAACCTCTCTATGGTTTATACAATCCTCAAATACTCCCTAGACCGTTTTCTAACGAAGATCTTGGACTGCAAAGATGAAATGTTCATTATGCCCATATAAAAAATTAAACTAAAACAAGTAAACGACTTTTTCCCACCCAAATAATGGCTTAATGATACTTTTTCACCAACAAATTTTTAAAATACCACTTTACTACCCAAATTATATTCCATTTTTTATTTTGGTATCTTTGCGACCCCACACCACCACTATTATCTCCCCCGATCATCACTCACCAAAACCCCTCAAACCCTACTCTCGTCGACCCTGCCAATCTCTAGCATCGATGATTAGGGTTTGCGTAGCTCGCCCTCCCAAGTCAAATTTCAATCAAGTTCAACCAATAATCCAACCTTCTACCACCAAGATTCATCAACCTCCCCTCTTTAAAAGTCCTATAGTTTGGATTGAGTTTGCTTTCTGTTCACCGCCGGAATAAATTTGGATAGTAAAATGATATTTTAAAATCTATTAGTGAATTATCATTAGCCATTATTTGGGGGGAAAAAGTCATTAACTCAAACTATAACCATAAAAAGTATAGAAAACTAAAATTTAAAAAAAAAAAAAAAAAAAAAAAAGGTGCCAACAGTCACTTGACAACGAAACCTTGTTGGATTAGATCTGGCCAAGCCTAGCCAATGGCCAAATCGGTGGCAGCATGGCTTGATTTGCCACACAAGGCCGAATCGTGTTCACCAATCACTGCGACGTGACCTGTCGGGGGCGTTTGGTTCAGGAATGTTAGATTACTGGGAATGTTGGATTACTGGAAAGTAGATTGCCTTGGAAGATTATTGGGAATCTTTAAGAAAATGTGTTTGCTTAGTTGGTGGGTATGTTATTTAATATGTTTGGTTATGGGGAATAAATGGTGGGTGTGTTATTTATTACTAAATTGTCCCCTTTATAAATATTATATAATTTATTTTAATATTATTTTGAATAATTTCTTTTAATCCCTAATATTTCAGATTTAGTTAAAACACTCTGATTATATAAACTTTAATTTATTACGAAATCACCCCACCTCTGCGCGCGCCTGTCCCACCGTAGACCACCATCGGAAGTCTCCGAAAGTCCCCATCACAACTCACCATGACCAAGGCGATATGGCCGTTTCCGGCCATATTGATGGCTGAAAAGGCCATACCAGGCCAAATCTGGCCGAAAATAGCCAGATCTATTCTGGCCATATCAGGCCAAATCTGGCGAGATATGGCCGTTAACGCCAGATCTATTTCGGCAGAATAGATGGCCGTTAAGGGCCAGGTCCTGGCTGTTAACGGCCAGATCGGGCCGATAAAGGCCAGAATAGATCTGGCCTGATACGGCCATCAATATGGCCGAAAACGGCCATTACGAAACCTCCCGAGCCTCCCACGAAACTCGTTCTTTTTTAGGACTCCAGCAAGTTTTTGGCGGCGGTCCGTGGTGTTTGGCCCTGTCAACGGTATGGCTGGTGACAGTGGTGGTAGTCCTGTAAATTGTTTTAAATATAAGGACATTATTGTCCAAAATTTTAGTTAAATAGGGTAAATTGAATAGATATTAATGAAATTTATTTTAAAATGAGCTATTGTCCAAAATTTTCATTAAGGATAAATTGTAA